GGTTCCAAGTAACATCCCTAACGAAAGAAGATTCCGAGGCTTGAGTTTTCTCAAAGTTCCATTTTATTAGAGGCGTCATATTGGCACATCTGGGAAAACCCGAATCTGAAAGTTTTCAGGTTTTCCCCACCCAAATGAAAGTTCAAGTCCCTGCCAAACACCCACATGTCCATCACATGGTCCAATCAGGCACCATCCAAAACTGGAGATGCCTCCCAGTCACCTCATCTCATCGCAGCTGCAAGGTGTCCTTGACTCTCTGAGAAAGAATGTTAGTTTGACTATATATCACCCACACTTTATATAATCCCCCTCCCATTTTCCCACATTAGAAAATGTAGCAGGCCTGAAGTCTCAAAGGTAAAAAATGGCTTCCAGGTCTGACAGAGATCGTAAAAGGCTGGCTTCAAATAGCAATAGCACATAGACTTACTTATATACCACTTCACAGTGCTTTACAGCTCTCTCTCAGCAGTTTACAGAGTCAGCATATTCCTCCCCAAAAAATCTGGGTCCTCCTTTCACCTTGAGCCAGTGAGACTTGAGCTGCCGATCTGCTGATATAGCCAGCAGTCACCAGAAGTAGCCTGCAGTACTGCATTCTAACCACTGCGCCACCACGGCTCTTAACATTATTCAAAACAAATAATCCCTTTCTGACATTCTCATTTAATTTTAAAAATACAAACCAATCCTACCCCGATGCTTCTGAAAACAAAATACCTTGCTTATTATCCTGCTAAAAAACTGACAAGGAAGTATAACAAGTATGTCATTTTGAATAAAGGCAACCGTTGTCTTGTGAGAAATCATGTTATTTATTACAATTAAGTACTTGTCTCATGCTGTTTTAGTCAAGTGATAAAGGGTTTGTTTCTCAATGAGTTTCAAAGCAAAGGGTATCCTACAGCATGGGTGTCAAACTTGATCATGTATTATGATGTGTTTTGCCTTTATGAAGCTGGAGTGGGTGTGGCCTGCACATGATGCATCTGGCCCACTGGCTGCCAGTTTGACACCCCTGTCCTACAACTAAACCACTCCAATAAGCCCTGGTGGCACAGTGGTTAAGTGCAGTATTGCAGGCAAACTCTGCCCACAGTCAGAATTTTTTGGATTTTTGGACCAAGATTTTTGTGCTAACTTACAATGTGTCCACTGTCCACCCATACTTTGGAAGAATATCTTCATTAGTAAAACTGATATATTCTCACTGCAACTTAATCCAGGCTTAATGAGTGTGTCTGCAGAGATGTGCAAATGCTTACATAGCTTCAGCACAATTAAATCAGAAAATTGTGTAAATTCTGTAATAAAAAGAGAAGCATAGAGAACTGTGGTGTTTGTATTAGAAAACTGGAACACTATTATGGGTTGCCTGTGGTATCTGCATTTGTAGGTTGCATTCATTTCTAGCACTTAGAGCCTAGGATTTTATGTATAGTTTTACAATCTGTATTTTGGCTTTCACATAAGAGGACTTGAGCAAAGGAGGTGGAAACATGATATCAGTGTTCCAATATCTCAGGGGTTGCCACAAAGAAGAGGGAGTCAAACTATTCTCCAAGGAACCTGAGGGTAGAACAAGAAGCAATGGGTGGAAACTAATCAAGGAGAGAAGCAACGTAGAACTGAGGAGAAATTTCCTGACAGAACAATTAATCAGTGGAACAGCTTGCCTCCAGAAGTTGTGAATGCCCCAACACTGGAAGTCTTTAAGAAAATGTTGGATAGCCATTTGTCTGAAACCGTATAAGGTTTCCTGCCTAAGCAGGGGGTTGGACTAGAAGACCTCCAAGGTCCCTTCCAACTATGCTATTTTATTGTATTGAGATTAAAAAAACAGTAAATTTAGGTATTACTGGGCAAGTCTGTGAACTGTTTGGTCCTCCTTTGAGAAAAAGGTAGTGCAGTCTGATTTGACCAAAATGAACCATAAATGTTAGTCTGTCTATATTTACCCCAATGCTGGACCTACCTGTGATGAAGACCAATTCTAAGAACATTCTATATCATAAATAAAGAAATAATTAAGATCTGGGTTTGGAACTTTAAGATATCTATCATCATTCTCAAAAATCTATACACTGGTAAAACTCCCATTATGTTTATTTGTTCATGTTTGTATCATCAATTTAGCCTAAATGGTGGAATTTACCACAACAACCTTTGGATCAAGATATATAACATCCACTCATAGGCAAACAAATTTCAGTAAGGTCAATATTTACTTCCTAAACAAAAAAGCAGAATGATCTCAGGCAAACAAAAAAGAAGTGGGAATGGAAGAAACCTTTGATTTCCTGCAAGCTTCCTCTTTGATTTTGCTTGTGGAAAACTGGCAGGGAACATCGGAAATCATGATTAACGCCTGTGTGGATGTTGTAACAGCGAGAACTTTGCAAATAAAACTGATGTGAACATTGTAGAAATTTCAGTTCCATGGGAGTAATAAGTCCCAGAATTTTCATGCATTCTTTAAGTGAGAGGATCTTAGGTACCTTGATTCAAAGATTGTTGTGGCATAATCCTATCATTTGGGCTAAATTGATGAAATAAACATGAACAAATAAACATAGTGAGAGTTTTAGTAGTAGTATATAGATTTTGAGGACGATGATAGAGATCTTAAGGTACCAAACTCAGATCTTAAATTAATATGCCATTGTAAGTATGTGTGACTTTTGTGATATATTATTTAAATAGAAATAATTATATATAAATCTCTCCCTCCAACCTCAGAGAGAAAAAGAGGTAGCTGAGAGTCCAAAGTATAGACTCTCTTCTACATTACTTTTTTTTTAAAGCACCCAAATTCAACATTTGCCTTATCCCATCCTTTTGTGAGGTACCAAATATATTAACAGGACAGCCGATGCAATATCAGGCTGAACACTGGGAAAGAGGACTAATTCCCAGTACAGTTGAACAGTGAAAAAGAGAATATAAAGTAGTAAGGACAAAAATGAAGGCAGACAGGGAAAGGATGCAAAATTAAGAGTTGTTGAACATTTATCACATAGGTGATGAAGAGGCTTTAGCAATGGCAGCAATCAATTTTTCATGCTAACATCAACATAACAACAATACCAACAGGATTACATACCAAGTTATTATCAACTGGATGAAATGTAGCAACTTTTTCACTCCTTGGCAAGTGGAACAGGTTTTGTTGCCTCTTCCAGAACAAGTGTTGCACCTTTTAGATATAAAAATGAAAACTGTTTATTTATTTATTTTGGTTTATTTTAAATATTAAATATAAAATTAAACATAAAATACCTGTTTTTTTAAAAAAATATCTCTATATACTATACTATACTATACTATACTATACTATACTATACTATACTATACTATACTATACTATACTATACTATACTATACTATACTATACNAATATGCTGACTCTGTAAACCGCTTAGAGAGGGCTGAAAGCCCTATGAAGCGGTATATAAGTCTAACTGCTATTGCTATTGCTATTGCTATTTTTTTTAAGAGCAACACTGAAGGTGAATCCCTTATGAGGGAGAAAGTGCTCTCCAATCATGTAGTCACTCTGCCACCTGGTGCATAAATGAAACATTGCAACATGTACAAGTCTCTTGATCTGGTTTCTCCTGCTAAATTTCCATCTGATTTTGTATCAATCTAATCTAATGTATCAAACTATGATGAAAACATGGCCTATTCCAAAGGATTTATGGAAGATTAATGCACATCTTCCAACATTATCTTTATTTCTAAGGATCACTCTGTCCTTCAAAACTGCTATGCCTCCTTACTGTAACTTTTGCAAAGTCTGAAGATGCCTTTTCATGAGAAAAGATTTGATGTGTTGCATAAATAATCCAATTGTGGCTTATTCAGGAAGTCATTGTTAAAATCACCTGTTTCAGTGGGATGTGTGCCAAAATTCAGCAAGTTTCCAGCCTCAATCATTGTGTGAGTGGTTTTAAGTGAGTAATGTTTAAGTATCTTCCATTTTAGCTATTACTGCATTTGATGGTTGCAATAATGATTTCAAAGTATATTTCATTTGAGCCATTCTTGCAACTGATTAATGTTTATTGGTATTATTTTTACTATGCTTTTGACACATATAAACCACCCAGATTTCCTCCAGATTAAAATGGGAAAAATATTTATAATCTCCCACAGAAACCAGTCTGGGGAAATATTTCTCTTGGAAAAGTATGCAGATAAAAAAAAGGTTATGTTCCCCATCTGCCAACACCACTTCTTAAATTAGCTACTTATAAGTAAAACAAGCAAACATTAAGATCTCCCAATTTGCATGGTCACCGGCCCCTGCAATAACCAATTATTAGGAACTGTGCATTTCTTCCTTGCAAACACACAGCAGATACAGTGAAATACCATGTTTTCCCAAAATATGACTTACCCAAAAGTAAGTCCTAGCTTGATTTTTTACATGTGCACTCAATATAAGCCCTACCACCCCCCAATAAGCCCTAATTAAGACCCCTCCACTCCAGGGTGCACAGGTAAAAATTAAGCTAGTGTGGGGATGGGGGTGGAGCTGCCCTACTACTTACCTTTGGATAGTTGCAGCCAGGCCTCTCACACACACCGACACCTGACTTGCTGCCCCACTTCTTCTGCAGCCAGCAAGGCTTTCCTGAAGGCCTCTGTAGCAGATAAGAGAACTCTGTTATCGGCTGCAGAGGCCTCCAGGAAAGCCTTGCTTACAGCAGAAAAATAAGTTCCTGATGATCTCTGACAGCAAATGCACACAGTGAGGTGAGCCAGTGGATGACGTCCCCGCCAAAATAAGACCTGGTGCCTTTTTTGGAGGCAAAAAATTTGACAGGGTTTTATTTTTGGGGAAACACAGGTATCACTAACAGTTATTTTTCCCTGCTTGTTGTTTCTAACATAGTGTTGTGGTTTCCAAATTTCTCATATGTACTAAGTTTAAAGTTTGGATAGGACTCATGATTTGAAAGTCCTGTTTTGATATACCTGCCGTAGGATGCAAGATGTGCTGGTGAGTGGGCCATGATGTTCTGCGATAGCTCTTTGTGAAGCCAGTGAGATCTCAGCATTAGGGAAATCAACAAGAGGATATACCTGAAACATATAAAAAAAAAACCTTCAAAAACTATACGTTCTATTCCTCTGAGTTGCTGCTGGTTTGTTTTTTTAAAAGTTTCCCTTCCTTCCTTTCTGATCATGCCCACCCATCCATTGTTTTTATTAGGACACCAGGCATATGAGTTGGAGTAATGTCATTACTTCAGGCATTGTGTACAACACGTTGTCAAGCCTGATGAAACCAGAACAAATATGCTATTATTACAATTTCTTTCTCCTCCCAAGTTCACCTGTCCCTGTTACCAGGAAGGTTTGTTCAATCTCTAAAGCTATAAGAAGCAGAATATTAGGAGCTGCAGAGCTTAAGTGAGTCTCTCTACTCCAATTGCTTAAAAGGATAACTATTCCAAGTAACGTAATATGCATATGATGAATATGAAACTGCAGGACATGATGTATTTACTTTGTAATTCTGGAACTGTTAACCGTAATAAGAAAAATTCTGAGTCATCATCTGTTCCTCTTGAGGCACCAATGTAAAAATTATAAAGGCATTGCGTTACTGGTCCTTATGTCTTCATATATAATATCATCAAAATGTGTTTGAATATTAGTAGTTCGGGTTGGTAGCTAGGCTATTGGTTTGAGCTCTGAGCTTGGCAAGTTGGTTGCAAACCTTTTGTCACCATTTTAGGAGACATCGCCAGTGCGTTTTGAATTCACTGATGATGTCTCCTGGAATGGTGGTGAAACATTTGCACCCAACTTGCCAAGCTCGGAGCTCAAACCAACAGCCTAAATATAATATCATCTTTACAATTTTTTAAAAAGATTTAGCTTTATTGATTAACAGAACAGGCATATCAATTTAACAAAATAAAAAAAATATGGTGCAGATGTTTAAGAGATGCCAAGCTATGAGAGTGGCATGACTACCAGATGCAAACCAAGATCAAATATATTAAATACTAATCAAAGACTTATAAAGATAGTTGAATCTTGTAACAAAAGCAGGAGCAAATAGCTGAAGTAGGCCATTTTCTCTGAAGTGTTCCCTTTCCAGTGGATTGGAATATAGCTCCAGAAACTAGAGGTTTGGAAACACCATTCTAGTAATTAATTAGCCAATATATGAACACAGTTTAAATATATAGTCGAAATCACAATGAAAGTCCAACTGTGTTTAATATAACAATGGTAGATAAAGTTAAATGGAGTAATACATGAATTATAACATTAAATCATGTTGTTTCTAGTTGCCTTTTTACTGGTACTAGTGATGATGATGATGAAGAAGAAGAAAGAGACAATAAGAACTTGGAGGCATCATTTGCAGACACCAGGAACTGTGCCTTAAGGAAGTATTATTGTACTTACCAGAGTATTTTCATCTTTAAGTACATTTTCCCCCATAGCTTTACTGAGCAGATCTCTTGGAAAGCTTAGTTGGTGTTCAGAAATGAATTCATATACATTGTTTTTCCTAGAAGATAAAAAAAAAGTTTAGAGAAGGATGAGGGGGGTAGAGGGAGAAGGGTTTAATATGAGGGTTCCCAAACTGCGAGGTGTATTAGGAGAGGATGAAGAACTTTGTAGTTAGATTGTTACAATAAATCCACCTTTCCCAAATTTTAATTGCATTGTTTTCATTGTTCATTTGTGTTTGTGTTGGATTTTTAGGAAAGGTGTATCTTAAAAAGAGAGTAAAGGAAAGTGTGATGGTGAAAGTTTTGGATTCCCTGATGCAAAATCATACATATATACATACATACATACATACATACAGGTGAGGCACAACACCGCAGTTGGTTTAAAAAGATAGATGTATTCATACCGGGCGTCAAACCTGCGGCCTGTGGGCTGGGATGCGTCACACGCTCACCACACCCACCTCAGTTTTAGTGAAGGGGAAAAAAGTCACAACTCGTCATGTGACAACAACATGACGCCACGAGTTTGACACCCCTGTATTAACAGTTTGCTCTGCGCCGAATGGATAACTGGACAGGGAGGAAAATAATCAGCTTGTGAAAGACAAGTTAAGAGGACAGTAGCACAGCAATAAAAGAAGAGGTCAGCTAAGGTAAGCTAGTTCATAATGAAAGCCCACAGTCAAAACAAGATTCAGAGGAACTAGAAACGATAAGCATGGATTTAAAAGTGAAAGAAATAGTCATTCAAAGTCCAAGCTCTTCATTCTTCATCTTTTTTGTGTAAATGTCCTTGGTGCAAGTAATTTTGTTTTCTGATCAATAAGGTTCTTTTTTCCTATTAGAAATAAGATGGAAGGAGTGTTTGGAAAGTATGCAGAGTTTACTATAGGGTGAGCCACGGAAGGAGCGAGGGAGAGACTGAGACAGAGAGATTGTCGGGGTTCCAAGTAACATCCCTAACGAAAGAAGATTCCGAGGCTTGAGTTTTCTCAAAGTTCCATTTTATTAGAGGCGTCATATTGGCACATCTGGGAAAACCCGAATCTGAAAGTTTTC